TTTTAATGCTAAACTTAATTCATCTTCCCACTATATACTTCATACTTGAAATGTTCTAGTTCCTCACCACCGTCTATATTTTTGTTTGAAGAAGTCTCTAGGGATCCTGCTAATTACTGAGCTTATTAAAAGTAGATTAGATCTGTTGCTTAATTGAAGTTACAGGAAAAGCTACCCCCACTTTCAGCACCCACAGAGATGCGCTAGGGAGCGGCCTCAGGATGTGAACCCCCTTTTGCCTCAACAACGCCAGGCACTGCCTCCAGGTAAAGACCACCTGGGACCACACCATTCAAGAAGGTGTTTTGCTCCCAGTCCTTCATGGAATTAAGAATCTAAAGTCCTTGGAGGACCAATGCTCTTGAGGTTAGAACTTTCCATGAGTCCATGGAATCATTGTGTTTGTGGTGTGGGGCTAGAGTGAGGAGGCCCGCAGACTTGGAGATGGTTGCCCTTGGAGGGAACTAAGCTCAGGGCTAAGTGAGAGGTTGAGGAACTTGGGCCAGGCCAGGCCTGATCAGGTGAGCCGGGGTATCCTGGGGAATAGCCCCTATTTAAGGGTGCTATGGCTCCAAGAAACTCTTTCAGGACGAGTTCAGGGATTGAGATACGAATTAGCATTAGGATTGTTGGTAGAGTCTATCCACTGGCAGCAATTAATAAAGTAACATCTGGTTTGTCCATCAGGCTCTTCTGAGTCGGGTTGCCTTGAGTCAGCCCTGGATATGTGGACCAGACCCTGAAACCAAGGCACCTATCGGAAGGCGACCCACTTTTCTACCCTGGGTCATCCTCAGTTTGATCTCAGCACTCACGGACACCTGGAGCACAGCTACAGCCACAGACTTGTGATACATTACAATTTAAAACTGAGGAAGGCACCGTAATACCAGGTTGTACCTACCATTACCATGTGGGATGCCTAACAACAGCCTTTGGAAGTCTGTTTAACTGCTGTTAAAAACCAGAAGTAAAAATTTTGAGTCTGTCCCTAGAACTAAAAATAAACCTAGGCTAGTGTCCAGGAACAGGGAACAGTTAATAAGTACCGGAGGAAGCCTCTAATCTCGCTTCCGCTCAATCCTTCTCCCTCAATGAAGTCAGAGTTCTTAAAGTCAGGCCTCCCCGGGGCCACTCTCCTGCTTAACACTGTTCAGAGTCCACCCTGTCACACGGCCCACAAGAGTTTTGGAGGGACCGGCCGGAGGCTTGCTTCCAGCTTCAGGTCTTGTCTGCCATCCTCCTTCCAGCTTCAGGTCTTGTCTGCCATCCTCCTTCCAGCTTCAGGTCTTGTCTGCCATCCTCCTTCCAGCTTCAGGTCTTGTCTGCCATCCTCCTCCCCTTAAATTCTGCAATTGAGCCTCTTCACAGTGCCCTGCTTTTCCTGTCTCTGGGCTTTTGCACATCTCGCTCCTTCTGCCTGGAACACACTTCCATCAACCCTTATCATCTCTTTGCTTAGCTAACTGCTGTTCACTTTTCAAATCTCAGCCGAAATTCTGATCCAGAGACTCAATTAAATCCTTGGCTGGAAATTCCCAGAGCACATGCTTACAGGTTTCAATACTTGCTCTCCACGTCCATGCTGACAGGGCCTGTATCTGCCTTGCTCACCACGGACTCTCAAGTTCCTTTTTTAAAAATTGTATTTAACTTAGCTCTTAGATACTTAAAATTTAAAAAAAAAAATTTTTTTTTAAGTAATCTCTATACCCAACATGGGGCTCAAACTCATGACCCCAAGATCAAGAGTCATGCGCTCCACTGACTAAGCCAGCCGGGAGCCCCCCTTAGCAATTTTTTTAAAAGATTTTATTTATTTGACAGAGAGACACAGCGAGAGAGGGAACACAAGCAGGGGGAGTGGGAGAGGGAGAAGCAGGCCTCCTGCTGAGCAGAGAGCCCGATGCGGGGCTCGATCCCAGGACTCTGGGATCATGACCTGAGCCGAAGGCAGACGCTTAACGACTGAACCACCCAGGCGCCCCATTAGCTTTTATTTTTGTTAAAGTTATATGTGCACATAGTTGAGAGTATCAGATACTTCTACAAGGCCTATAACCCTCCTTAAATTTCCTGTTCCCCAGAGGCAACACTTTGAAACTTTTAACTGAATGTTTTGTACTTATCTTTATATATTTAATTAACATGCGTATACTGCTACCTCTTGATTTTTCAGTTTTAAGCATCTACTGATCTCTCATGATAGATGATGAGTATTTAGATCTCTTGCATACCCTCCCCTTCTCCCTATCACACCTGCACACATCCTGTCCCTCTATCCTTTCTGCTATAGTTACTTCTGGTTAGATCAGCATTCATTGTTTACATTATTATCATTATGCAAATATTACTGACAGCTGAGCCTTGAGATTTACCATACTTATTGTCTATGAATCATTTTATTTTCCCTGTAGTTAATAAATATATATGAATTTTTGCTTAGTTCTCTAGGCATTTATCCCTAACTTATGTCAAAACTTTCCCAAAACTATGTATTTCTCTTTCTGTATATTCAACACATTAATTTCGTCTTGAAGAAGTCTCAGAGCCTCTGGCTGCTCCAGTCTGGGCTGGGTGACTCCTAGCCCTGCTGCACTGGGGCCTCTGTCCCCTCACCCTTGGATTTTCACCACCTCTCTCTACGCTGCATCCACCCTTTCCTGGATCCCGTGTCTTTTGTTTCCTTGGTTTAAATCCTTGTTTTGGTGAGTCCTCCAGCAGCCGCCTGAGAAAAGGACAAAGGGAATCTCTACATGTCTGAAAGAGACATCAACTCTCATACCTGATTGATACTCCAGACAGAACCAGATTTCGAGGTGAGGATCATTTTTCCTCAGGATGTGGAAGGGTTTGCTTCATTTCCTTGTAGCTCCCAAAGTTGCTGTAGAAAAGTCTGATGCCTTTCTGATTCCTGATCCTTTATAAAAGTGAAACCTGCTGTGTTCCTCTCTGTAACCTTGAGAATCTTCTCTTTGCCAGTCCCATGGGCCTGCGTGCAAGTCCCTGTTCATTCACTGTCCTGGGCACTGTCCAAAACTCATGTTTGGTTCTGGAAAATGTTATTGAATTATTATTTTATGGTTTCTTCCCTCCATTTTCTTGGTTTTAACTTTATGGAAGTCTTATTATTCTATTATTCTTTTGGACTATTCTAATTTTCTTTTCTCTCATTTCCCATTTCTTTGCCTTTTGGCTCTACTTCCCATAAGATTTCCTTTTCTCTAATTCTTTTATTGAATTAAAAAAAATTTTTTTTGCTTTCATATTATTTGGCATCCAAGGAGATACACAGAGACATAGACACACACAAATACATAATTTTCAGTATGGTACCCCTGCCCTCCACTGTGCCTAATGATCCACTCCTACATGGGCTTGGTGCTGCCTGTTCCAGAGCCCTCTGTCCTGTGATATAACCTAGGTTGTAGTTCAGCTTTTCCCTGTGCCAATGTAGGGTTTAGCTTTCTTGGATCTGCTAAGTCAGTTACCACTTGCCCATTTGCTATTCTGTTTCCACTTTGTTGCCCTTGTCTCCCATTCTTTGTCCCAGTGGTTTTATGCCCCCCACCCCAAATCCCCATCACTGTCATTTTACAGGGATTTGGGGAGACATCAGAAGCCAAAGCCTGCATCCAACCTGTCTTTTTTACCTGGCAGTCTATCTCCAGATCCTAGTATATTTCTTAGCACACAGTAAGTGCCCAATACGGTTGGATAGAGTATTAGAGATCATTGTCTTTCCCATCTTTGGTAACCTAAAGGTGAAAGCCCTTTAAATGGAAATCTTTTTAGTTATGGTGTTTACTGCATCTCAGCTTGGAGTTCACCAGCCTATCTATCTACATTATATATTAGGCAATATTGTGTGGTGAAAAGTTGGAACCCAGGTTCTGCTTACCACGAAATTGTGTCGCTGGGGACAAGCTACTACCACTCTTGAGTCTTAATCTGCCCTTCTGTAAAATGGGAACGATAATACCTTCTTCAAGCGTCTTGCTCAGTGCCTAGAGCATGGGAAGCTCTCAATATTTCTGGTGTGTAAGAGTTCAGTACCAAAGCAACAATTCTTAGAAAGTCAGTGTTTTACTTGAGCTTAAAATTAGCCTTCACACTTGAATTGCAAATTGGTCCCTAATTAATGCCCGTCAGAGCAAAAATCTGTGTTTAACCTGACTTGACGATCAGACAGAGACTGCAAAATCGTTTCAGCTGAGAGGCAACTAACGTTGCTTACCGAGGGTCTACAATGTGTTAGCACCCCTCCACGGTCAGGCCGGTGGATCTAGAACTTTACATTGGGAGTTACAAATATTTATCGTGTCTGTTCTGCAGACCTCGTGCTGAGCGACCCCTCACTCATTCTTTCACTCCCGCCGCGCTCAGTCCCTGGCTTCAGTTCTGCTATGTTGCAAGGCGCCCAGGGTGGGAACCCAGACCCTTAGCCTCCTCTGATCCGACCCACCCTGGACCAAGCGCCGTTCGCAGCAGGGGGTCGCACAGCACATCTTGGTCTTCACCGGGAACTCTCCCAGCCTACCTGCAGAGGACCCCACTTTCTCCAGAGGAAAAACTAAGGCAGCACCCTGGGAAAGCAACCCTGTGTACTCTAGGTCCACTTTGACGCTCCCTCGGCCCTCCTTCCTCCCTGGCACGCGGGGATCGCAGGACTCGGAGCGGGCCCTCGGGCCCCGGCGCACGGGCAGGTGAGGGCGGGGTCCGAGGAGACGGCGCCCCGCCCCTCCCGCCCCGCCCCGAGGCCCCGCCCCCCGAGGCCCCTAGGCGCGGGCCGCAGCCTCCGTCTCGCCCTAGCCGCGGAGCGCCGCCGAGAGGCCGGCGGGTGGGCACTCGCTCCGCCCCCTCCCGGCCCGCCGCGCCGGCTCCCGCCTCCTTCCCTCTCCGCCTGCTCCCGCCTCCCTCCCTTTCCGCTGCCGAGGCGGCGGGAGCCGAGCCCGAGCGGACCGAGCCGCGGCTGCAGCCGGCGGCGGGCGCCGAGGAGGCGGCGGCGGCGGGGCGGGCCGCGGGCGGTCAGGCAGGCGGCGGCGGCGATGCGGCGGCCCCGCTGAGCCCGCCAGCTCCGGGCGCCGGGGGCCGGCCGCGCGAGGCGGCCCGGGTCGGGCGGCAGCATGCGGAGCGGCGAGGAGCTGGACGGCTTCGAGGGCGAGGCCTCGAGCACCTCCATGATCTCGGGCGCCAGCAGCCCGTACCAGCCCACCACCGAGCCGGTGAGCCAGCGCCGCGGGCTGGCCGGCCTGCGCTGCGACCCCGACTACCTGCGCGGCGCGCTCGGCTGCCTCAAGGTCGCCCAAGTGGTAGGTGCCGGGCGGGGCCCCAGGTGCGGGCGGGCGGCCTAGCCGGGCGCCTTCCCTCCCCGCTACCGCTTCGGGGGCGCAGGCCCTGCGGGCCGCCGCCGCGCACTCGCCTCCCGGGGCCAGACCCCAGCTGCTCGCGCCCCCTCTCCCTCGCGGGGTCCTGGGCCGCCCTCCCACCTTCCCTGGGGACCCTGCCCTCTCCAGCCCTGCAGCCTCAGCTGTGCGCCTCCTACCTGAACACCTGCCCCCCGGGCCTACCTGTTCACTCCCGCCTTCGCCGTCGCCAGCCTTTTTCATTATTGGGCTTGGTGGTCAGCGAAGCCCGGCGCGGAGGTCATGCTGTCCCCTGGGTGACTGCTGGTCACAGCAATTTGTGGCAGGTTTTCGGGGCCCTCACAACCTCCACCTCCGCTGAAGGCCCTTCTCTGTCTGCTTCCACCACTGGGGACTGTGGCTTGATTTCCTTCTCCGCATGTGGCAGAGTGCAGGGCATAGGGTAGATACTCAATAAATGTGTTGAATGGAGGCATGTAGCCTAGATGCAGCGGGGGTGCCCAGATCTGCCCCCCAAAGTCTCCAGTTTATACCGCAGAGGTTTGATTCCTGCTAATTAACCTAGAAGACCCAACCAGCATCCCTCAGTCCTCTGCCCCAGCTCGGTGGCTGGCATTGCCCAATTGGTACCCAGAGTTAAATCACTGGAGGAGGGCAGCCAGTGTTGGAGGCAACAGAAACAGAGAACTTTCTGTCAGACTTGTCGATAGTAGAGCTCATCTCAGAATTCTTCTTTTCAGCTTCCAGGGTATTCAGGGCAGAGGCCTACCACTTCTGCCCCTCTTCTATGGTTTTGTAACAGGCCTCTCTGGGCAGTTGCTTAGCTCTCTAGTGGACAGGGCATGCTCCAGTTCAGGGAAAAAACGTGTCCCGTATTCCCTGTCACAGGTAGGCCTTCCTCTGAGGCCTGGCAGCAAAACTTTATAGCCTTCTCGGCCAGAGAAGCCATTTGCTTAGAGCTGCAATGTGTGCATATTGTTTCTTCCAGGCACTGGGCTTATGCTTAGTTGAGTACATAGATAAACATCCCTTGGGAATAATATAAAATGTGGACACCCTTTAAATGAAGGTCTCAGTGTTTGTAAATTGCAGAATCATAGACTATTTTCTCTCTCTCCGGCTTGTTCTGCTGATGGACAGGGGATATTTTTGAAGGGCTCTAAAAAAGGCAAATGGAATAGGTTACCCCTCTCTAGAATTTTAAACTGACCTTATCCGGTAAGCTGGAATGTTCTCAGGGATATGTTGGTTCTGTAGTTAGGCATTGCTGTTAGCAAAGAGAATGGAGGAGGTGGGGGAGGGAGGAGGGTGGTGTATAACTGCCTTTTAAAAGAGGCAGCTAGCCAATGTTTGAGTACAGCACAGATAATCAGAAATGAGTAAAAAAACAGGGCGTGAACTTGGACCCAGGTGGAAAATAGGGCCTTGCTAAGTACCTTGCTTTGTTTATTCTGTGGACTTTTGAAAGTAAAGAGAACTAGCCACTCAAAGGATCTGGTAAAAGAATGAAAATCAGTAGTTTGTATAAAGTGCTGGTTGCCATCTCATCGCTGGGACTTTGTCACCTAAGGCCAGGAATGGAAGCCGGTGGTATTTGTCATTGCCTTTTGGTAAGATGCTGTTTTGTCGTAGAAATTTGCTTTTCATCTGGAAAAACTTGCGGGCCCAGCCCCTAAAATCTCGCGTAACTCTGCCATTTGTCTCACGTTTGAATTTAAACAGTAAGAGGATGTGTGGGTGAGTGAAAGAAAGGGACCTGCTTGAAGGGTACGGCAACTTGAAACAGTCTTCCATGTACTTGGCTTCTCAGCCTTGATATCAAGTCAGGGTTTTTTGGGGGCGGAACCCTCACAAAGCTGAGAGATTGGACTCTAGATTTAAACAAGAAGTCCTTGTGAAGATATTTTTAAGATGTTTACAAAGTTCAGAATCCCATCAGGAAATACGGATAAGTTATAATTCTTACCTTAGAGCTTGTATTACAGTTAACATATTGTTTTTGAGAAATATCTGACTTTTTCATTTTAGTTTTTTCATGGACATTTTTTGTGGTTTGTGGCCTCTTGCAACCTGTAGCGATCCTTGCTACTCCAAGTGTGGTCCATAGAACAGCACCATTACCAGCATCTGAGAGCTTGTTGGAAATGCAGACTCGGAGAGCCAACCCTAGACCTTCTGAATCATAATCTGCACTTTAACAGGATTCCCCCAGTGATTCACATGCACATTCAAGTTTCAGACTTACTATTTTTTTAAGACTTTATTTATTTATTTGAGAGAAAGAGTGAGCAAGAGAGAGAGAGAGAGACAGCATGAGCAGGGGGAGAGGGAGAAGCAGGCTCCCTGCTGAGCAGGAACCAGATGTGGGGCTGGAACCCAGGACCCGAGGATCATGACCTGAGCAAAGGCAGACGCTTAACTGACTGGGCCACGCCCTGAACTTACCTTTCTATATCATTTTATTTATTGATTTATTTAAAAGATTTTATTTATGCATTTGAGAGAGAGTGCACAAGCAGAGGGAGAGACAGGGAAATGGGGAGGCAGGCTCAACTCAGACACTTAACCAAATGAGCCACCCAGGCGCCCCTCTATATCTTTTTTTTTTTTTGGCAAAGTATTAAAGCCTCTCACAGGTGCTAGCAATCAGTTCTCTATCAGAACCATTATACTCAACCTCAAGGCTGAGGTTTTACTGTAAAATGAGCCTTTGCCTCCTAAAAGGATTAAGAGAATGAGGTGATGTATAAATTAGCACCTAGCATTTTAGGTGCTTAGTGTGTAATAAAAGATATCATTGCTGCTAATTAATATTTCCTGTCTTTAAAGAAACTTGGTGAAATTGCCATCCCCAAATTACAATTATATATTTGAATTAAAAATAGTTTACTTCCTAGTGATTTATTTTTTTTTTAAGATTTATTTATTTATTTTAGAGAGCGAAAAAGAGAGCTAGTGCGGGGAAGAGGGAGAGAGAGAGGCAGACTCCCCGCTGAGCTCAGACGCCCCCCCCCCCAAGCAATCTCAGGACCTTGAGATCATGACCTGAGCTGAAATCAACAGTCCTTCGCATAACCAACTGAGCCACCCAGGTGTCCCAACTTCCTAGTGATTTAAAAGTTAAATTGTTGGGGCTCCTGGGTAGCTCAGTCCGTTAAGCTTTTGCCTTTGGCTCAGGTCATGATCCCAGGGTCCTGGGATCGAGTCCTGCAATGGGCTTCCTGCTCGTGCTCTCTCTCTCTCCCTCTCTCAAATAAATAAATAAAATCTTAAAAAAAAAGTTAAATTGATATTTTAAATGAAATGTTTTTGATATTAAAACTAATCTGAAAAATGAAAATTGATCAGTATTTTCATAGATTAAATTTTTTTTTAAGATTTTATTTATTTGACAGAGAGAGACACAGCGAGAGAGGGAACACAAGCAGGGGGAGCGGGAGAGGGAGAAGCAGGCTTCCCATGACCAGGGAGCCCAATGTGGGGCTCGATCCCAGGACCCTGGGATCATGACCTGAGCCGAAGGCAGACGAGCTGCTTAGCAGCTGAGCCACCCAGGCGCCCCAATACTTCCTTCCTTCTTGTGAATGTGGATTCTGTGAGTGCTTATTGGTTTTTAGCTTCCAGACATCAGTTAATGAAATAGTTAATGTAGGCCTTTTGCTTTTTCTCATCAGCTTGGTTGAAAGCATAGTTTTGCTCGTGGGTTGGGTGGTTGGGGAAGGCATTCGGTCATTTATACCATGAGTTAGGACAGGGTCAGAAGAGGACAGGCCCCAGTAGGCATTATTTAGTGAGAGCTTACTCTACTGTTGTTACCCCTAGGTTATGGATGAGGAAATTGAGGCACACAGGTTGTGTCTCATTCAAGGTCACATGGCTGGTGGGTGGTAGTGCTGGGATTTGAACCCCGTGGCAGTCTGGTTTCAGAGTGTGCTCTTTACTGCCTCCTGGACACGTCATTTTGAGTTGCACAGAGCAGGCGACCTTGAGTCCAAGGACATTTCTGTGGTTTTGGCCACCCTGGTGATGGCTTGGGTGACTTTTGCATGCTTAAGAGACTTACAAGGGTTTCGATTTCTCAGTGGCCATTATGCAGGTGTGCAGTTCCTGTGTGGGGTCCTGCCCCTCACCCAACAGGTCTGTCCACTTCCTCAGTGAGGGGATGGGCCTTCTCAAAAGTGCCAAGAGAGTCAGCATTTCACTTCTATTTTTTTTAGTAAAGATTTTATTTATTTGAGAGAGAGAGGGAGCATGAGCATGGAGTGAGGGTGGGGGGCAGAGGGACAAGCAGACTCCCCGCTGAGCAGGGATCCTGACGCGGGGCCCAGTCCCAGGACCCTGGGATCGTGACCTGAGCCAAAGGCAGCCTCTTAACCGACTGAGCCACTCAGACGCCCCTAGTATTTCAGTTCTAAAAAGACCTCTCAGGAAGCTCTTTTGCCTCAGATCCTTTTCTTAAGCTTCTCCCATGCCTGACTGACTTTCTGACATTGTATTGTCGTTATTTTAGAACTCTTTATAACCAAGTTGGGTGATATGAGGTGTTTAAATTCAGATTTTAGTTCCGCTGATCTTGAAATCTCTTAAACCTATCCTTGTCTTGGCTTCTTCAATAGTGTAATGTGGTTAGTAATGACCAAGCATTTTAGGAATTGTAAGAACTAAGAAGTCAATGTCTGAGGGGTGCCTGGGTGGCTCAGTCATTACGTGTCTATCTTCAGCTCAGGTCATGATCCCAGGGTCCTGGGATTGAGCCCCGCATCAGGCTCCCTGCTCTGCGGGAAGCCTGCTTCTCCCTCTTCTACTCCCCCTGCTTGTGTTCCCTCTCTCGCTGTGTCTCTGTCAAATAAATAAATAAAAATCTTAAAAAAAAAAAAAAAAGTCAATGTCTGATAGGTGCTTTCTTAGGTAATTCAAAGGCAAATATGAGTATTTACATTTCAGGG